CAGTTTGGCTGGCAAAACGCTGTTTCCCTTGTCTTCTTCTCCCTGTAAGACTTTGTCTTGCAATGCTTATTTGTTCAATTCATTGTTTGTGACCATAGAAAAAAAAATCCTGAATGCCAAGATTAAATTTTCTGAGTATGCATTAAAGGCTTAATCAGTGCTGTTTCAGTAAATATTCCTGGAAGTTAAAAGCTCTTTATTCAATCAAGAGCTGAGAACATTAAGGATACTATTCACATATAAAAGATTCTGCCTTGCATTTTTCAAACTTTCAGTTGAAATATTGCCATAAAGTCCTTAGGGCAGATATGTGTGTGGTAATCTTCCTCTACATGGGAGCTTGTTTTGTAGCATATACAATGTGGTTCTTTAATTGGCACATGTACTTATCAATGTTAGAAACACTCAAAAAGTTTCAAAAACAATCTATTTTAGACATACTGTTAGACTCAGAAACATGAGAAATGTTTTTTAAAAATCAAAACATTGCAACTTGATTTTTTATGGCTAGTTCTGAACTGTGGCCATGTTTACTTGTTGCTGGATGAATAGGGAGTGCATTACGATTCGCAGTTCTGCAGGCTGTATCACAGCACTCCTCTAATTTAATACTCACTCAGATATGGTATCTAGCAGATATAATAAGGGATGATAGGAAAAAAAGCCAGACGAAAAGAACAGACTTGAAAAAAAAAAAAAACTGTTTCAAACACATTTCTGTGTATTGTACTCTGCATTATCTTTTATCCTTTGAAAGTGAGTAGAAAAAAAACTGCCAAAGAATCTTTTTCCTCCAGTTTTTTATAGAAATGAAATAACTATGGTAATGATGACAACTCAAAACATTTTAATTAAGCAATTGGATTCTGGCCACAAGTAGATACTACTATTGCTTCTGTACAAGATGACAACGTGTAACTACCGAGGAAAATGACCCAGAGAACGACCCCTTTCCCTCTCCCCAGTAATTTGCAATTTCACATGCTCCACCTTAGTTCAAAAAAAAAAGGTTCTTCTCCTTCTAGAACAATTTCACCCATCAATAAGAAAAAAAAAAAAAGCCTGTCATCTTACAGTTCAAGAAGTTAAACAGCGTTCAACAGACCTCATTAAGTCAAAACCGTTGTACTTTTTAAATTCTGTTTTCTTTCCTACTGTTCTGTTTATGGCCTCTTTCAACACAATTAAACTAGGTCCAGGTAGGTGGCTATCTACATACTACTGGTGTGTGAGAAGAGTAGCTACTCTATATTTAAATATTTCTCTCTTCTGCAATGCTATTTACAAGTACAAAGATTACCCTGAAGTGCTGTCAGAGGTTTTTCAGCTCACCACAGTCACATTTTGGCATTCAAAGGGATATATTCTGTTATTTCCTGACTTTCTACATGTTTTCTAAAAGATTTCCATTTTACTAATGTGTTTACAAATTGCCATAGTTCCCATTTGTTTTAATTGCTTAAATTGTCATCCCATTTGTCATCTACATAGCTAGAAAAGTCAAAGCTATGTCTCATTGCTATCACACAACATATTTAAGTGTGGGTAAATAAGAGCTGGAGGGAACACAAATAATGAATCTCAGCCCCTTCCCCACTTTCAATTATATAGGGGAAGAGGGAAGCCTTAGTCAGAAATGGTATTTCTGGAGTTGAGGTGATTTTTGTTGTGTATAAATCCGTTAGTGAAAACCTGTTACCTTTAATCCATTCCTGATTTGTTTCCAGGTGAGACAGCAAAGTGCTATCAAATCTCCCAGCTGACAGAAAAAGAAACAAACACAAAACAAAAACATCATACAACATCATACATCTTTTGCCTTCTTTATTAGGTGTAAATTTGCAGAAAAATGACAACCTTGTTAGCGTTCTAAACAGGTTTAGGCAAGGAGACGAAATTATAAATTTCCAGCACCAGACGTGTTTTATTTCTATGTAGACTCTTTAAATCTGGAATTAATCTTCAATGCCCTCTGAAATTTTCAGCAACCAAGAATATCATCTCACTCTTGATGTCTGCTCCATGTTAAGCTGATTTAAGGTGGAGTGCAATAGTATTGCTACCCAGATCTGCCTCCTCATGTCCTTCGTTATGTCGTCTCAGAAAACAAAACAGACAAAAATTACCTAAAAGAAAAAAAAAAGAAAGAAAAAAAAACACTTTTTTTTTTCCTGTCAAATCAGGAATTCCCTGAATTGATTTTCCTGGTCATTAAAGTACTGATTTCTATGAAAACAGAGCAGAGTACTAGATTGCATGGCCAGAAGGAAGGACTACAAAGGCCTGGAGCATTACAGGGTACTTATACCCAAACTGGGAGAGAAGAGCAGTGGATGTTGTCTACCTTGGCATTCAATAATATCCTCAGAAGCAAGCTCAGGAAACATGGGTTGGAGGCATAGACAGTGAGGTGGATTGAGAATGGAAAAAAATCTAATTGGAGGACTGTGTACAGTTCAAGAATTTGTCTAGTTGGAGGCCTGTATCTAGCGGTGGTAGCCCTCAAGAGTCAATATTTGGTCCTGTTCAACTTCTTCAGTAATCTGGAGGAAGGGCCGGAGCACACCCTCAGAAAGTTTCCTGAGGGCACAAAACTGTGAGTAGTAGCTAATATACCAGAGCACTGTGCTGCCATTCAGAGGGAGGAGCCAGGAAAAAAAACGGCTAAGGAGGAGGAGCCAGGAAACTACAGGCCAGTCTGCCTCACTTCCATCCCTGGAAAGGTGGTGCAACAACTCACCCTGGATATCACCTCTAAGCAAGTTGAGGACAAGAAAGTGATCAGGAGCAGTCAGCGTGGATTCACCAAGGGGAAATCAAGCTTAACTCATCTGAAAGCCTTCTATGACAGAATGGGTAGACAAAGGGAGAGCAGGGGATGTGGTCTACCTTGACATCAGCAAGGCTTTCAGTGCCCATAGCATACTCACAGGCAAGCTCAGGAAGCATGGGTGGCATGAACGGACGGAGTGAGGTGGTTGAGAACAGGCTGAATGACACAGCTCAAAGGGCTGTGCTCTGTGGCGCAGAGTCTAGTTGGAAGCCTGTAGCTAGCGGTGTCCCCCTGGGGTTAGTACGGGGTGCAGTCATGTTCAACTTCTACATCAAGGACCTGGATGAAAGGGCAGAGTGCACCCTCAGCACATTTGTTGATGATACAAAACTGGGATGAGCGGCTGATACACCAGAGGGCTGTGCTGCAATTCAGAGGGACCTGGACAGGATGGACACTTAGGTGGAGAGGAACCTCATGAAGTTCAACAAAGGCAAGTGCAGGGTCCTGCACCTAGAGAGGAATAACCCCTGGCGCCAGAACAGGTTTGAGGTTGACTTGCGAGGCAGCAGCTCTGTAGAGAAGCATCTGGGCATCCTGGTGGACAACAAGTTGGCCACATGCCCTTGTGGCTAAGTCCAGTGGTATCTTGGGGTGCATTGGGAAGTGTGTTGCCAGTAGGATGAGGGAGGTGATCCCCCCTGCTCTGCTCAGCCCTGGTGAGACCCCACCTGGAGTCTTGGGTTCAGTGCTGGGCTCCCCAGTGCAAAAGGGACATGGAATGACTGGAGAGAGTCCAGGCTAGGGCTGATTAAGGCACTGAAGCCTCTGTCCTGTGAAGAGAGGCTGAGCGAGCTGGCTTGCTCAACCTGGACAAGAGACGGCTGACAGGGGATCTTATCAGTCTGTGCAAATATCTTAAGGGATTGTGTCAAGAGGACAGGGCTGACTCTTTGGTGATGCCCAGCGACAGGACAAGAAAGAACAGCCACAAACTGAAGCACAGAAAGTTACACCTGAATCTGAGGAAAAACATTTTGACTGTGTGGGTGACAGAGGCTGGGCACCAACTGCCCCAAGAGGATATGTAGAGTCTCCTTCTCTGGAGATATTCAAAATCCGTCTGGACACCCTCCTAGGCAACGTGCTCTAGGTGACCCTGCTCATGCAGGGACCTTGCACTAGATCTTCTCCAGAGGTCCCTTCCAAATTTATTCTCTGTGATTCTGTGCCCTTTTCTAAGGTGGTCATGTGGGGACAGGCCTCATGCTCACTCCCTCTGACATGGGCACCTCTCACTCATGAATCACCACTGGCGCTTGTGGGTTACAGTGGCCTAGGCGCTGATATCAGCCAGGAGCTCCTGTCCAGGTCCCACATCCCCTTGGGCGACTGAGGAGGTCGGAGGTGCTGAGAGTGTCTGCATTGCATCTTCACTTAGTGGACTGCAGCAGTGCTTTGGCACCTTGAGTTTTGTGGTGGTGGTGACAGCTCAAAGTCTTTGAGTCCTGTCACAGCCATGGCCCGCCAGGACGGAATGAGCCGTGATCCCACCAGGACCGTCCACTTCCAGCTGCCCGAGAGGCACTGGAGGGTCGAGATGGAGCTGGAGAGGCGACAGGAGGCTGCTGCTCGCTGGGCAGTAGTGTTTCCCTGGAGCTTCTCCAGGTGGGTGGTGGGGCTGCCCGAGCACGTGGACCTGGACTGGGTGCCGGGAGAGACACCAGCCCAGCGGCTCAGGAGCGCCTGGCGGAGGGGCCTGACTGGCGGCCTGCGGGACCTGGGCAGATCGTGCGTGGGTAAGAAAGTGTCCCCGGTCGCAGAGCCTGTGAGCGAGCGCAGCTTGTGCCAGGCACGCGGCACCGTGCTCATGCTGGGCCTCGGGCATTCCTTGCAGTGCCAGCTTTCCGGTCCTGCTCCGGCAGGAGGAGGTGCCAGGACACCCAGGCACCCGAGGACACCCTGGAGGATGTGGTCCTCCAGCAGGAGCAGGAGCAGGAGGAGAGCGGCACCACCACCTCCGGCCCAGACAGCGCCTGGGACCTGGTGACAAGAAAGTGATCAGGAGCAGTCAGCGTGGATTCACCAAGGGGAAATCAAGCTTAACTCATCTGAAAGCCTTCTATGACAGAATGGGTAGACAAAGGGAGAGCAGGGGATGTGGTCTACCGTGACATCAGCAAGGCTTTCAGTGCCCATAGCATACTCACAGGCAAGCTCAGGAAGCATGGGTGGCATGAACGGACGGAGTGAGGTGGTTGAGAACAGGCTGAATGACACAGCTCAAAGGGCTGTGCTCTGTGGCGCAGAGTCTAGTTGGAAGCCTGTAGCTAGCGGTGTCCCCCTGGGGTGAGTACGGGGTGCAGTCATGTTCAACTTCTACATCAAGGACCTGGATGAAAGGGCAGAGTGCACCCTCAGCACATTTGTTGATGATACAAAACTGGGATGAGCGGCTGATACACCAGAGGGCTGTGCTGCCATTCAGAGCGACCTGGACAGGATGGACACTTAGGTGGAGAGGAACCTCATGAAGTTCAACAAAGGCAAGTGCAGGGTCTTGCACTCCGCTCAGCCCTGGTGATTTTATCAGTTTGCACAGATATCTCAAGGGAGGGCAGATGGCCACAAGCCCTATATAAACCTATATAAGCCCTGTGGAACCGCAGCGCTCCCTGTATCACCCCAGCGCCCCGTGTCCCCTTCACGGACAC